ACCGGACAGCAGACACTCCACCAACAGATACTGGACAACCGGCACCGCACGGTAGACACTGCGCAACAGACGCTAGGCAGCAGGCAATGGGCAAAAAACATTGGACAGCGGACGTTAAACAACAGACTCTCCACCAACAGACACTGAACAGCAGACATCGCACGACAGACACTAGACAACAAACACTGGTCAGGACACAAAACAGCGGACAATGAACACCGAAAAACAAACGCTGGGTGCAGTAAAACAGACAATGCGAAGTAAACACTAAACAACAGGCACTGGACAACACTCACTGGGCACACAATCAAGACAATGGACACTAGATGACAGACATATGACAGCAGGGACTAAGCATTGCATGACGCAATGAAAGCTTCGCCCTCGGCTGAGCCGTCAGCGAGCTGGGGCGCACGCGCGGCGGCCTCTGGCGCAGCGTCACGGTCCACGCAGGCGGCCCGCGCCCTCCAGCGGCCCGCTCCCTGACAGCGGCCCGCTCCCTGTTAGCGGCCCGCTCCCAGCCAGCGACCCGCTCCCTCTTTAGCGCACTCGGGCGCCGAGCAGCCGGCTTGTCAAGTGCCGCAAGCCGGAAGCCGTGTTGGACTCGGAACGTGACACGTGCGCCGGCGAGCTCACAACTAGGGCCACGAACGCACCAGATACGACATCAAATTTCCGGCTACTGACGCTAACCATGTGTAGCAGGATTTACGGCCTGGCCTGCGGCTGGAGCAGCCGACTGCATCTGCTGTTGTGTGTCCCTCTATGACAGAAAACGTCCGTCAGCTTTGAGATGGCTGTTTGCGACTGTCATGCAGACAGAACCATGATAACGCATATGTGTGCCCGATGTAGATGCAAGTCCAAACGGAAAGGAGCGCGCATGCGTACGAAAAGCTGAATGGCATATTTGTTTTGTTTGAGAGTCTGCTTCTATTTCTGGCGCGTTTGTATCCCACGGATTTTGGACACAGCCAATCGTGTAATTAAGACGCGGGGAATTCCTTGACAAAATATTGCTGCATCGTTGATCTGCTCAGATTCAATCCAATTAATACATACTTGGGTGCTCAAGTGCTGGCATCACCCTGTGGTTTACAGAAGAAATAAAATTATCATTTGACTAACCAGTGATGTTTTTTCCATGTACGGAAAGTCAGCGCCGATCGCAAAACTAAAATATTGCAAAAATGTCGGTCGTCACTGATTGCCGTGTTGTGTTGTTTTGTTGGCATTTTCCATTGTTGGCATTGTAGACATCACATGTCTAAGCACGTACAGTGAAACCAACCTCAACAGTCATAATTCAGGACCTGTAGCCCATGGGCGCGTCCGTACTCAACTTACCACTGATGAACAGTCTGTTTCAGGGCTCTGGATGCACTGACTACAACTCAGCAACGTTCGTTTGTCCCTGTGGGAAATTCCGCATCACCTTTGTGCTGACGGATATAACTGTCGGGCTTGCCTGCTGTCTCACACTGTGGCCTATGGTCAATCATGCCGACTGCACGTCTGCAGCGTCGTAACGCCTTATATTTAACATGCGCTCAGGCGGGAGCCAAATTAATCGCCCGAAGGTTTTTAAGAATGATTTCAGAACGGCGAAGGCGTAGATACGCTACACTTGTCAAAGCTGTAGACAATTATATGGCAGATCTTTTGGCACGAAAAATTACATGTACACTGCGAGGTTGCTGAACTATGACAAGTCAAAGTCAGGCTATGGCTGTCAGCGAAGGACATCTCTATGGAACCGTTCAATGTGGTGCAAGAACCGGGTGTTAGACGAAACAATACATATATGAGATAGTTTCTTAGGAAATATACCTATTGAATTTGGAATTACAACCAAGTTTATCGACCTAGGATCAGGTATGAAGATCAGAACGAGTTCAAAACTAACCTGTTTTGTACTCGAGAGCTTGCTTTTATTGGTTAGTTTCTGACGCTCATTCCGAATTTATTACCGATCGTTAACTTCGACGCAAAATAAAAACACGGCAGAGAAAATTTCCACTGACGGTTCACGGTTCCGTCTCTGGGTTCCGCTGCTGCCTGTCGTATGCCACCCAGCTGTGCGCTGGGCACGTGCCGCTGTTACCGTCCTGAGGTACGGTCTTCCTGCCCTGTGAATGCTGCCCAGGATCTGCTTCTCAGCAGCCGCCAGTTGACCTCCTCTCCGACAAGCGGATGGCGACGCGGAGGACCATGACATGGACCATGCTACATCCGGGAACTGTACCACTTCCCGCGACTCAAGCAATGGAGCCCTGCCGCCCGAGGGTGCCCTGATGGATTGGAGAATCCCTGTCGCTGACATCCATGACAGCCGGCGAAGCTGCTGACGTTTTGACAGCGTGCCTAGGGCGAGAGCTCCCTGACCAGAAATGAGATTTTCACGCGGACTCCGGGGGTGACTGCCACCCGGGCAGACGCGTCCTCGGTTCAAATTTTTATGGAATGATTGTATACTGGTTCATGGTCCTTTTTGGACGATTCGGATCAGATTCAAATCACGGTTTTGTCTGTTTTGAATAGATTGTTTTGTTGATTCACCTTTCAATTCAATGATTCTGATATGATTCGAATCCTCATATCAGCGTGTGTCAATCGATTGATTGTTGATTTGTCCTACATTCAATGTTTGAGTGATAACTTTAGTGCGTTTTAATTGATTGATCATCTGTTCACCGCCAATACATACTTATCTTGTACATACCTAATGATTCTGGTTGCGCACTTTTTTTGTTGATCTTGAATAAATCTGGCATTCATATTGACTTTACTTGCTTTAGATCAGCTCTTCTTGGGAAAGGCAATGCTACAATTAGTGATCCACATTGAATGTTTGCATGTAGCAATCAACTGATCTGCGGTTCATAGAAAATATGTAATTCATGAATGGTTAATCGATTCAACTTGAATCGAACACAGGTGTA